ATGCAGGTGGGGTAAATGAGTCAAAGTTCTGGACTGTGGGAAGCCCAAGTCAAATTGCTCTGTCATACTCAAAACTCAGGAATATTAAAACCTGGGAGTTTAAAGACAGCCTCCTGGCTCAGGCTTGCAAGCAAGGCTAGAAAGACAGGCGTTTCAGGGCGGCCGTGATGCAAGTATCTCTCATCGCATTCTTGGAGTTAATCTCATGGAGTGCATCCATCCCAGGGAAGGAAATGTAACCAAGGAAACAGGGCCACTCGCTTTTCCTCACACCCAGTGGTTTTACCCATAGCCTGGTAGAAACTGAAGGGGCCTTATTTTCACATTTAAATTTTTAGGCTAGATTTTATCCTTTAATTTTTTTTTATTATAAATTGTGGTAAAATACACATACATAAAATGTACCATCTTAATTATTTTAAAGTGCATGTACTACATTTTGTTTATCCATTCATCCATTAATGAACAGTGGAGTTGCTTCCACCCTTTGGCTACTGTGAATAATGCTCCTGTGAACATGAGTGTACAAATAGCTCTGCAAGATGCTGCTTTCAATTCTTTGGCATGTATACCCAGAAGTGGAATTTTTGGCTAATATAGTAATTCTATTTTTAATATTTTGATGAAATGCCATACTGTTTTCCACAATGACATTTTACATCCTTGCCAACAGTGCACAAGGCTTCCAGTTTCTCCACATCCTTGCCAACATTTATTACTTTCTATTTTTTTGATAGTAGCCATTCTAAAGGAAGTGCAGATTTTATCATTTTCTTTCCATTTGAATTCAAAACTATGCTATTGACAATTTAAAAGAAGTACCTACATTGGCAGACCTACAGGTGTACAGTGATCCTCAGGGTGGGGTGGATGGGACCAGGTTCCAGGTTGCTATGGGCTGGACTGTTCCATGTCATGTGTGTTCTCATGGCATTTTTTCAGTGATTATTGCAATTTAATATTAACAATTATCTGGGTTTTGAAAGGTTTGTTTTCTGATCTGCAATTGATTGAAAATAAAACAGTCATCTATGTTTATATTTGCCTTCACCAGCTCAACACTTTAGGAAATGAGCAAAAATGGAGAGACAGCCCAGCCTATATGGTTCAGTGCTTGAGCTTTGACCCATGAAGCAAGAGGTCATGGGTTTGATTCCTGATCAGGGCACATGCTCAGGGTAGCGGGCTTGATCCCCAGTGGAGGATACAGGGCACATGCCCAGGGTTGTGGGCTTGATCCCCAGTCGGGGACGTGCAGGAGGCAGCAGATCAATGTTTCTCTCTCATTGATGTTTCTATCTTCCTCTCCCTCTCCCTTCCTCTTTCTCTAAAAAATGAATAAAAACATATTTAAAAAAAATGGAGAGACAATCTCTTCAAATCTGTATATGTGACAAGTATTTTTATGGTTAATTGAATTACTTCTTTGAGTTGAATCTTTCTATGTGAGGCATTTCTATGTGGCTTGTATCAAATGCAGTCCTATCCGAATGAGAAAGATGATAGTAAATGCTGATTTAAATGCGGTTTCTAATTAAGAACAAAGTTGTTACCTTGCCTTTTCTTTTCCCCAGATTGAAAGAATTGATCGGCTTTTTGCTGTTGGAGGTCTTCGTCACCTCATGTTTTACTATCAGGATGTGGAGGTAGCAGAAACAGGTATCCAAATTCGATGGGACACAACCCAGAAATGTGTTAGATCTAATTGAGGGTGGCACAAAGCAGAAGGCCACTGTGAGACCTGAGCAGGTAGCAGTGTGGTGTGGAGGGTGAGACCCAGGTTCTATTTTTACCTTAAGGAAAGGAGACAGGTATGATGGGTACCTCGCCTGGTTGTTCTATCTTTATTTGGGATGTTTTGTTTACTTTGTCAGGCTGTGCTGGTAATTAAGGTACAATAAAGTAGCTTACGTTTTGAGACTTCCTTTCCTTACATGCTAGTTCATTTCAAGCAATCATATTCTATAACTTCTAATGAGCATCTGTTTCTTCTCTATATAGGCACTATTTCCTTTTAACGTAGGAATTGTTGCCAATACCCTAACATGAGTTTTCCCGTTATATGTCACATTATGTTTATTTTCCACTGACTATGATTCAAAGGAGTAATGTTGAATGATAAGTTTAGTCAGTTTCACTTAAGAAAAATTTGTAAATCTTTGTGTGGAGTCAACTGGCAAATCCCATTTTACTTTTATGTGGACTCATATAATTCTAAAGCCAAGCTAGTGACATAAACAAATATATTATGATTATATTAACATGTCATATGCATCCTTTTATTACCTTTTTGAAGAAAGGGAAAATAGTTATTGCTGTTGGTATATAGTGTGACTATGCTTTTTTGTTTAAAACTGAGGAAATTGTGCATGTATAATCTAAATGATCAGCATTTCCTCAAAATTATCTATTGATGTTTTGTGGTCAGAAAGTATTTTATATTTTGAGTGAAAAGTCAAAATAACACAGAAGTTTTGAATTCTATCCCAGGTTGCAAAGCCCATGCAATGCTGAGTTCATTCATGAACTATGCACTGGGTGAAGTAGCCCACACTCTCTTGAGATTTTTGGATTCTGATGTGGGTGAGATGTTTAATCCATTCTAAGACACTTGGAAGTTTCTGCAGGATTTTTTTTTTTACCTTAAAACTCTCTTTGCTTCTGATACCTTGGTGCCTTGTTGAAGCTTCTAGTTTAACAACTTCCTCATGAGACCCAGATGATATTAGTCAGAAGTGGGACACCGTTTTGAATGAGGGAGGTAGCTTCTGGTTGCCTTTCTTGGAGGGGTTCATTGTCAGCACCCCAGTCCAAGTCTCTAGCCAGCGCCACGGGGAAGAAAGAGCGCCCGGAGAAGATTCCCCTAGGAGGTCTAATCCCAGGGTCTCAGGATTCAACTTCCAGTCCACCCCCCTCCTCAACCCCTTTTGTTAGCACTAATGATCTTGCTCCTACCCCAATAGTCTTGTTTGAGCTACCAGTTCATTTGGAGATCTAACACTTTCTGGGGCAGATAAGAACACAGTGGAAGAGCTCAGAGTATACTCTGTGTACTTAAATGATCCACTCATGAACTGCATGCTTGTATGACCAAAAATGAATTTTCAGATAATAATAATGATAATGCTTAGTGAGCTAGTCTTTTGATATACATTTCTAAGGGCTTTACAGCTTTTCACTTATTTAATCCTGACAACAATTCCAGATGCTGAATGTTAGAATTATTCCCACTTTTCAGATGATAAAACTGAGGCACAGAAAGATTAAGTAATTTTGCCCAAGGTCACATGACTAAGCAGGGCAGCCTGAGAGTGAAGCTCTGGGAGTCCGACTCTAGAGGTCACACCATTCGCTGCGATGCTCTCCTGCCTCTACACAATCCTGACTCTAGCATTGTAGTGAAGAGCCAACCATGACAGAGGAGGGGCAGCAGGAGGAGATGGAGGTCTGGATTGTTGCAGTTAGAGCTGGTTTTTTATCTTGGCTCTGTACCTGCCTTCAGGTTGTAGAGAGGTTTAACAATGTAGACAATGTTCCAATCAGAGGCTCTGACACGTAGCATATGCCAGTCAATGCTGTCCCCTCCCTCACCCACTCCCACTGCCCCTGGGAAGGCCCACTGTGACCGAGATGACTGTTAGAGCTTCAGCAAGGATGTGCTCTGCACCAATCTTTCTTATTCTTTCTCCTTTCCTTCCTACTTTTCCATGGAGCAATGCTTTTGAAATGAAGCTATGATTGAGAAGGTCCTTTTAGATCCCTTTAGGGTTCAGGCTAGAGATTGTCCAGGAGTTGGACCTTCTAGGGCCCATGGATGAGCCAACATGACATATTTGAACAAGGAAGCTCTCTCCGGCGATCACTGCAATAGCAGTTGTGAACCTAACATTCTTTTGCATTTGTAGGACAACCAAGCTCTTCAGGAGGAGTAAATCCTATTTCTGCAAAGACTAAAAAACCTAAAGTGTTCGTGACGGAGGGAAAAGATGTTGCTCTGACTGGAGTATGTGTGTTCTTCATCAGGCCCGACCCTTCCAGAGCCATCACCCCCGAGAACATCCACCGGGTAAGGGGCAAGGGCAGCCCTCCACCCCCTTACCAAAAACCACTTACGTTCTGCGGGAGGCAGCCATTTTTTATTAAATATTCACTAAATATCTAAAACTCCTTTCAAAGAAGTATTTTTAAAAGCACTTAAAGCAAGCAATTAAGAGGACATTTTCTTTAAATCTGTTAGGGAAGAGGACTAAATACTCAATTTATTAACAAAAACTGATGTTACATTGTGTGTGTGTGTGTGTATGTGTGTGTGTGTCTTTCCTTTTAAAAAGAATTCCTCATATATAATTTACTTTATAAGACATTCCATACATTTAAAATCAGACTTTTTAAAGTGAACATATATAACTTTATTCTTTTCTGTGCAGAATAAAGTTCATCGGTACATGTCTCCCCTGCCCTTAATAGGTGCATTATCTGCTTGGTGTAGATAAACTGGTAAACATCTTCTGCTCTATTTGTTTCATTTTTATTGTTATGATTGCAGTTTAGAATAGTATAAAGCTTATGTCTCAACCAGGGTGTGAGAAATAATAATTTACTGGCTGGAGATACTGAATAGAAAAACAGACAATGGCCAGACCATCTATAACAATAAAACTTTGACCTCCAACCTGCAGCAACCTGCCCAGGAAAGCAACCCCTGTCTACAAACAACCAAAAAAACCAAAAAACAAAACTAGTAGCCAGCCTGCTAGTCAGACTCTCAGGAAAGCCAACTAGGAAGCTAAACAGTAACTGCTGTCACAGTTGGTCAGAATGGCAGGATTTTATTCTTGGGTGCCAGTCTACTGAACTTTTGTCCGTACTTCCAATGGCCTTCTCGGGGGCCAACCAGAGAAAGCCAAGTGTGTTCTCCCACCCACCACATAGGATGCCCTGCTTCTATTAGCCCTCCTCCAGCTTCCCCACGCCAGCACCCCCAATCAGGACACCCCACGAGAAGGCTCTCCCACTCCCCTGCCTGCCTATGAGGCTGTGCCGAAGGCAGGTGATGGTGGCGGACTCCCTTACTAGCCTTTGCTTTTCTCGGGTGGTCTTTACTCACTTCCATAGGATGGTTGGTTAATGGACAACTTTCACAGAAGACTTAGTAGCTATGTTGTGGTTGAAGGTCGTTTTTACAGTAAAGGGTCCCATTTGCTTTCCAGGAGGTGAGCTTTAACATGTTGGATGCTGCAGATGGGGGCCTGCTCAATAGCATGCGGCGTTTGCTGTCGGACATCTTCATTCCCGCGCTCAGGGCCATGGGCCAGGGCTGGGGTGAGCTTGAGGGGCTTCAGGAAGCACCCGCCATTCGGCAGGAGTTCCTGAGCTCTCTGGAAGGCTTTGTGAGCGTCCTGTCGGGCGCGCAGGAGAGTTTGAAGGAGAAGGTAAGCATGAAGCAGTTACTCCTTCAAAAATGGTCAGGGGTGAACAAATCAACATAGAAGTGTGTAATACTTCCCTTAAATAGTCTTAATCCCACTATCTTGCAAAACTTTAAAAAATTTCATGGGCATTTTTTTTTTTTTGGTTAATCCTCACCTGAGGATATTTTTTCATTGAATTTTAGGGACAGTGGAAGAGAGAGGGAAAGACAGAGAGAAACATCAATGTGAAACACATTGATTGGTTGCCTCCTGCATGAGCCCTGACCAGGGCCCGGGTCGGGGAGGAGCTTGCAACCAAGGTATGTGTCCCTGACCGGAATGGAACCTGGGACCTTTTGGTCCACAGGCTGATGCTCTGTCTGCTGAGCCAAACCAGCTAAGGCTCATGGGCATTTTTATTGCCCCTCATGATGTGGTGGTGACTAGACTTAAATTCCTTAGTTCAGAGTGATTAATGCATCAGAGGTTCCATAGAAATGGTGACTATGATGGAAGACTCAGTCATGTCAGATGTGTGGCTGCAGAGTATGAAATGCTTGTGGCATTGCTCTGCAACCCAGAAGGAAGGAACTTGGACCCAGAGTGTGTGTGTATGTGTGTAGTGTGTAGTGTGTAGTGTGTGTGTGTGTGTGTGTGTGTGTGTGTGTGTGTGTGTGTGTCTGGGGGGGTGGTGGTGGTGGTGGTGGGTAGGAATGAAGGAAATCCTGGAGAGGAGGGAGGAGAGGGGAATTAACACATCTGGAGAGGAGAGAGTGGGTCAGGCCCTTTGGTTCAGCCAGTGACCAAAGTGCCTTTAATAATAAGTGTGGCAAATGTGAACTTCAGCTTCTATAAAATTTGTTCCATCTGTAAGCCTTTGTTAGTGATTTCTGGGGTAGATGACAGCCCACACCCGGCATGAGTGGGAGGTAGAAGAATGGAGCCCATGATACCATTGACAATATAGCACTTACTCCTCTCAAGGGAAAATGTCTTCCGTAAATATTGAGGTCCATTTTGTATGATGTGTGTTTAAAAACACACTAGGTTTCATTGTCAAGTCAAAATCCAACACATCCTTTACTCCCCCTTCCTCCTTCCTTCTCCTAAAATAAGTCTTTGTGTTGTCAGTGAACTTGCTAACTATAAAGATGTTATTGAGTCAGGACAAGAGAACATGTCCCTCTGGTTAGTTTCCAAAAATGAATGTGATAGATTAGAAATTACTCCTCTCCACCAGTCAATTTTCTTGAAGCTTCCCTACTTCCTTTGGTTTCATGAGTTAACATTAATTTTCAAGTTCCCTATTAATTCCCAAATTCTGTGATGTTATGACTATCTTCCCCTCTAGTTCAGTCTTTCTTTTTTACCCAGAATTTGACCTCAGAACCCATCTTCCCAAGTGGTGTGCTCAGTGTGTGTGAGGATTGGGCATTGGATGCCTCACTGTTTCAGGGTATTTCTTCAGAGAGCAGGGCTGGTTTAGACTGGAGGGGCCTCTTAAGATAATTCTAAGCCAAGGGGTCAACCTGTGTGTGTGTGTGTGTGTGTGTGTGTGTGCGCGCGCGCGCGCGCGCAGGTTTTAAAAGCAACACCTTATTATCTAATTTTCATTTTAATTAGGTGAACCTTCAAAAGTGTGACATATTTGAACTGAAAACCCTGAAAGAACCGATAGACTACGTGACTCTAGCTAATAACCCCGAGACTTTGGGAAAAATAGAAGGTTGTATGAAAGTATGGATCAAACAAGTAGAACAGGTAATTTCCAGAAACCAAATATCAGTTGCCATGCTACTGAACTGGCCAATGGAAGAAGGTATATCATTTGCTATTCCCATTTGCCTAAGGATTTTACCATGAGTGCCTGAAAAGGTGAGAGGTTCCCCTGGCGTTAATTTAGAGTCATTAGTTAGGAAGAGATAGTAAGAATTCTAATGAGTCTGTATGCTTATGTCTGTATGCTTACAGAACTAGAAGACAGCACTTTGCTATTTTTCCCCTCAAGGCATAATTTACTTTGATGAGAACATCTGTAGAAATTCAGAGTTTTCTCATTTTGTGTGTCCTCCAAAGAGAGATCTTGAGACTTAACCTTAAAAAATATTTTCTGAAAAGTCCTAAGTGAAGGTGGACATTGCATCAAAAAGTAAACACAATTGAAATTAACCAACATAGGCGTGGGGACTTTCTCAGGTTATATTGCTTTGAGGTTATACATAGTAAGTGACTGCAACCAAGGAAATGTGCTGAGGTCAGGTTCTCCAAAAGCTTATTATAACTCCTTAAGTGAGTAGTTTTCAGTTAGAAGAAGTAAACTAAGTTTTTGTGGAGGTTGTAAAAATGGATACGTGTCAAGTTAGTAAAAGGCTATCATTCAAAACATGCAAATGAATAAGCCTGGAGCACGTTCAGATAGCATCACTCATTTCCTTATTTTTTTGCTTATCTGTAGCATTCATACCTCCAGCCCCGCCCAGTGGTTCACGTTTGTCCTGTGCATTCACAGGTCCTCGCGGAAAACAATCAGCTGCGGAGGGAAGCGGATGACCTTGGGCCCCGAGCGGAGTTGGAGCACTGGAAAAAGAGACTGTCCAAGTTTAACTACCTTTTGGATCAATTGAAAAGCCCAGATGTGAAGGCTGTGTTGGCAGTGCTTGCTGCTGCCAAGTCGAAACTTCTGAAGGTTGTCAGCCACTTTTTGCTGTATGCAGTGGGAAATTCATGTTCTAGGGTATTTCAGGTCATAGAGTAATCAGGGACAGAAACACATTATTATACCCCCATGAAAAAAATGAAGATTGGATATTGCCCTTCTATAATTTTTGATACCATGGAAATGGCTTTTGAATTAAAGATATTTGTTGGCTGATATACCTGTATGTATATGTATCATTAGAGGACATTGCATGTAATTAAGATAGCACATCGTAACATGATTATATATTCAGACCAACTAAGAGTAGTAATAATGAAAACTTATATATATATTTTTAGTTCTGGTATATTAGTTTTATATTGCTCTGTTACAGTTTACCCTCAAACTCAGCAACTTAAAGTAAATATTTAGTGTCCCACAGTCCGTGGGTCAGGAATTTGGGTGCAGGTTAGCTGGGTGCCTCTGACTCAGGATCTCTCATGAGGTTGCAGTAGGTGTGTTGGCTCATCAGCAGCCTCGACCGGGGAGGATATGATTCCAAGTCACTCATGTGGGTGTTGCAGGATTCAGTTCCTTGCTGGCTGTTGGCTGGAGGCTTCTTTAGTTCTTTACCACTTATCGGGCCCCTCACAACCTGACAGCTGGCTTCCATTAAAGGGCGTATGTGCAGAGTGCAAGAGAGCACCCCACATGGAAGCCACAGTCTTTCGGTAAAGTAATTCCAGAAATGACATCCCATCACTTTGTCACACCCTATTTGTTAGAAGCAATGCTAGATTCAGCCCGCAATCAAGGGGTGGGGATGACACAAGACCATGAATACCCGGAGTCGGTGGTCACTGGGAACCATCACAGAGGTGCCTACCACACCTGGCATTGTTGCCATAAAGACAATTTATTAGCCATTTGCATGGATGTTTCAATCTATGAAAATAATTTAAATAATAATTTGTTTTAATAACTGCTTTAGATTTACCTTGTATCATTGTTCAAAGAATGCAACCATTTCATTGTGCTATAGTTCAGAAATATCAGTAGGACTTCAATGAAGTCAGTTGAACATGTTGGCTGGAGCTAAATCATTTCCTTTTACTTCTCCTACTTTTAGATATGTCCATTTTGAAATTCCTAGGTCATAGCACAGTCCTGGTATATGGTTGGCAGTTAATAAATAATTGCTTCCCTCCTGATGCTCTGTCCTAGTTACTTAATAGGTTTTATAAGAGAAGGCCTAGTAAAAAGATTAAAATTACTCTTCAGTGTGACAATGTCCTTCACCCCTCTGGGTTCAGTTTTATGTAAGATGCACAGGACAAAGTGAAAGTCGGACCCAAGGGATCTGTGGTGACTCTTAGCAGCTGTTATATTAGAAGCTTCTCTATTAATAATTGCATTAAAATTGCTTTCCTGTACTGTGCTTAGACTTGGCGGGAGATGGATATTCGAATCACCGATGCAGCTAACGAGGCAAAGGACAATGTCAAATATTTGTACACACTTGAAAAATGCTGTGACCCCTTGTACAGCAGTGACCCTGTGAGTTAATTATTTCTACCCTCCCAGTCTCCTGATGGCCCTTTTATAACAGCTAAATTGAGTGTAGAGTTTTGGTTTGTAGATATTACAGTCTGTTGGAAAAGTCTTAGAAATCTCTTTTTAAGAAAATGATATGTATATATACACACGTCTACATATCTATATCTATATCTATATCTATATCTATATCTAGTATACCTATATCTATCTATATCTATGTCTATGTCTATGTCTATGTCTATGTCTATGTCTATATCTATATAGCTATATATCTATGTCTGTCTATCCATCCATCCATCCTTCCATCTATCAAAGATGTATATGTGATATTTAAAAAACATTTCTTGCACATTGCATTTTCCATTAAATATTGCAGCTGACATTCTGGGCTACCTTACTGTGGGAAGAGTCATTGAGCAGGTGTTTTTTTGAACTTTTAACTTTAGGAAGTGCCTGCTTTTATTGATTACAAACTTGATTGTTAGTTGACACAACCTCCTTGTCATTAAAAGAAAGTTAAGGTTTCTTGCATTGAAATAAAGTGTGATGAACTGAATATGACTAAATAACAAAATGATCCTTAAATGTATTTATGGAAAGTGTTAGATAATATTTTAAATTTTTAAGTAAAAGTTACTTAGATGACATGATTAGACTATTAGAATTTTGCTGAATTTGATATTTGTTTCCCAGAAAACTTTTGTGGTGTCTTCCAGATATCCATGATTGATGCTATTCCTACACTTATAAATGCAATTAAAATGATCTATAGTATCTCTCATTATTATAACACCTCTGAGAAGATTACGTCTCTGTTTGTAAAGGTAAGTGTATAGCATAAAGTCCGCAGTGCGGTCGCTGATATTTCTTTGCCAATGGTCACTATTTTGGTAATTAAAAATTACCATATCAGTACAACCCAATGTCTCTGAATACTACAATTTAAAAAAAAAGCTTAATCCCTCAATGGAGCTAGAATTCAGTTTATGTTAGAGGCTGATTCTGGCCACATCATGAAGCATAATTTCTCAAAGTAATTGTTATAATAAATATTGTGTTATATATATAATGAAAATGAAAAAAGATTCTTTTTGGAATTTCTTACCTATGTTATTGAGCACATTATTTATTCCGATGGGTAAATTTTAATTAAGAAAAAACGGACTATCTCCTGTTTCATATTTATAAGCTACTGTACCGAATTTATTTGATGCCACAGTTGTTTACTTGGTGTTATTAGGATAGTAATCTCGATAATAAAAGCCACTTGCAATGTTCCAGTAATCCATAAAGTAATTATAGTGATTCTGCCAAAAAACCGTAACGATGTTTAAACCTTATGTCCTAACTCCTAAGTGTTTATGGTGAGCACTGTGCTTTTCCCACAATGAATGGTCTCTGAGAAATAAATGATTTTTTCATTGCCAAGGCAAAATTTTAAATGTTGTATTAAAATAGAGGAATTTTCACCGTGGCTTGTGCTGTGAATACTAATGCTGTAGGAGTCATGCTTCTTCCTGGGAATAGGGCCATCAGCCTCGCGCGCTCAGCGAAAAATTCTTCTGCTTTCTCACCAAGTAGCAAGACAGCAACTCCTGACCACACTTTAAAACTACATGTGGGGGTCACACGGGGGATAGTCCCTGGGCAGAAGACTCAAAAGTCAACTCGTGTTGTTACTTTAGTAACAACACAAATTGACTTGCACATTATTTGCAGGCCTTGTTGAATAGAATTGTAAAACCACCCTTTATCTAAATTTCCAAATCTTTTCATTATGGGACATTTGAAGCAGGTACAAAAGGAAAGAGAATTGTGTACTGAACCCCCATGTACATATTACGCAGATTCAACAACTATTAACACATGGCCAGCCTTCTTTCACTTATACCCCCGACCTTTGCACTAAATCCCAGCCATCATATCATCCCGTGCATACAGTAGTCGTCCAGTTTTCCTTTTAATTTATAAAAAATCCCCAAGAAAAGTCTGAAGTCTTTTTAAAGTTTGGACAGATGGATAAAATGCTAGTAGTTACCTACATTAGCTTTACTCTTTTTTTCTGTTGCCTTCTCCTATAGACATGTCTGCTACAGATCCAGGGGCATGAAATGGTCAGATGGACAGTCCACATGGCACTTAGAAACTGAGTTAGGTGGTAGAGCAAGCTACTCAAGGAGATCAGGGAAACTCTTAGCAGCGTTTAGGTTGGAAAGTGAATCATTTCTAGGGGGCTTGAATTGGGGATTGTCCATGGTCCTTCCAACTCTGATTTCACAAATGTTTTAGACAATATATGTGTGGAATCTAAAAATGTTGAACAAATAGAAGCAGAGGGAAGTGGTGGTTGCCAGGGACTGGGGGGTTGGCAGAAATGGGGAGATGGTAAAAATGTATAAACTTTCAATTATATAAGGTGAATAAGTCCTGGGGGTCTAATGTACAGCATGGTGACTATAGTTAGTAATACTGTGTTGTGCACTTGACATTTGCTAAGAGAGCAGATCATTTTTATTTAAAAAAATTAAATTTATTGGGGTAACATTGGTTAATAAAATTATAGATTTCAAGTGTACAGTTCTATAATACATCATCAATATTGCATTGTGTGTTTACCACCCAAAGTCAGATCTCTTTCTCTCACCATATATTTGACCCCTTAACCCTTTACAACCTCTCTCCCCCTTTCCCTCTGGTAACTACCATACTGTTATCTGTGTCTATGAGTTTTTGTTTGTCTTGTTTTTTGTTGTTGTTGCTTTTAGTTTTATAGTCCACATGTGAGTGAAATCATATGGTTCTTGACTTTTTCCATCAAACTTACTTAAGCATGATGTGCAGGTGGCAACCAATCAATGATTCTCTCTCATCTTTGATGTTTCTATCTCTCTCCCTCTCCTTTCCTCTCTGAAATGAATAAAAATTTATTTTTAAAATGCCATTGGGGAGTGCGCGAGGGGTGGGCCGCATGGGGGTGGGGGGGAATAAAAAAAATGCCATTGGGATTTTGATGGGGATTACATCAAATCTGTATATTGCTTTGGGTAATATGGCCATTTTTTTAAAAAAAATATATTTTATTGATTTTTTACAGAGAGGAAGGGAGAGGGATAGAGAGTTAGAAACATCGATGAGAGAGAAACATTGATCAGCTGCCTCCTGCATACCCCCCACTGGGGTTGTGCCTGCAACCAAGGTACATGCCCTTGACTGGAATCGAACCCGGGACCCTTGAGTCTGCAGGCCGACACTCTATCCACTGAGCCAAACCGGTCAGGCTAATATGGCCATTTTAACTATGTTGATTCTTCCAGTCCATCAATATATAATGTCTTTCCATTTCTTTGTGTCTTCTTCCATTTCTTCTAATAATGTCTTAAGGTTTTCGGTGTATAGGTCCTTCACATCCTTTGTTAAAGAGAGCAGATCTTAAGTGCTATCAGCACATACATGAAAAATGATAACTATGTGAGATGATGGAGGTGTTAATTAACTTGATTGTGGTAATCTTTCACTGTGTATATCAAATCATCACATTGTACACCTTAAATACATACAATTTTTATTTATCAGTTGTGCCTCAATAAAGCTGAATAAAAAGGACTAGTGCTTGATCATAGTTGCTATGGAAACAAGTAAATCCAAAGCTCAAGACCACAGATTGTATGTCCTGAGAGGAACAAGAGTTAAGGACACTCTAGTCCAGCGGTTCTCAACCTGTGGGTCGCGACCATCGGAAAACACATATAGCATATCAGATATTTACATTACGATTCATAACAGTAGCAAAATTACAGTTATGAAGTAGCAACGAAAATAATTTTATGGTTGGGGGTCACCACAACATGAGGAACTGTATTAAAGGGTCGCGGCATTAGGAAGGTTGAAAACCACTGCTGATGGCTGTCTTATGTACATAATATCATTTTATTGGAAAACTCCAGGTGACCAATCAGATGATATCTGCATGTAAAGCTTATATTACGAACAATGGAACCGCTTCTGTGTGGAGCCAGCCACAGGATGTTGTTGTGGAAAAAATATTATCTGCAATTAAACTTAAGCAGGTAATGGTCAGCCTAATAATATATTTAGGTAACGTTTCATTATTTTTATGTTGTGTTTGGTGATGCATCTTAAATTATTTAGCAATTATTATAATCTTGGATGCTAAAAAGAACAGTAATTCTTCACTATTAAGAAAGTTGCATGTTAATAAACCTTCCCAATTTACGCACTTATTCTACCCTCTTTGGGAGCCTCTTGTGTCCCAGCACCACACTAAATACTGAAGATACAAAGATGACTAAGATGACTAAGGTTTTCTTAAGCTTCTGATAGACAGATGGGGAGATAGACACAGAGCGAGGCTATTGCTCACATGGTGGGACCGGGGTGAAAAGGCTGCTCCTCTGAGTTGCATTATGGATAATTAGGAGTTCGCTAGATCGGAGGATGGGAGAAGATGATATTCCAGACTGATGGATGAGTAAATGAAAAGCCTTGAAACTGGAAGGGCTTGTAGTCCCACCCTAACGTCGCCGTTACCTTTGCTGAAGAGAATAAGGTTGATATCTGTTGTTTTCCCTGTCTTATATTTTGCTTTTTGATTTTAAGGAATACCAGCTCTGCTTTCACAAGACAAAACAAAAGCTTAAACAAGATCCAAATGAAAAACAATTTGAATTCAGCGAGATGTATATTCATGTAAAGCTTATATTACGAACAATGGAACTGCTTCTGTGTGGAGCCAGCCACAGGATGTTGTTGTGGAAAAAATATTATCTGCAATTAAACTTAAGCAGGTAATGGTCAGCCTAATAATATATTTAGGTAACGTTTCATTATTTTTATGTTGTGTTTGGTGATGCATCTTAAATTATTTAGCAATTATTATAATCTTGGATGCTAAAAAGAACAGTAATTCTTCACTATTAAGAAAGTTGCATGTTAATAAACCTTCCCAATTTATGCACTTATTCTACCCTCTTTGAGGGCCTCCTGCTGAAGAGAATAAGGTTGATATCTTTGTTGTTTTCCCTATCTTATATTTTGCTTTTTGATTTTAAGGAATACCAGCTCTGCTTTCACAAAACAAAACAAAAGCTTAAACAAGATCCAAATGAAAAACAATTTGAATTCAGCGAGATGTATATTTTTGGAAAATTTGAAACTTTCCACCGACGTCTTGCTAAGATATTAGACATCTTTACAGCCTTTAAGACATACTCGGTCCTGCAAGATTCGAAAATTGAAGGGCTGGAAGACATGGTCACTAAATACCAGGTATTGTTTTACAACTGAAGTTGCTGCTCTTATCCTTAACAAAAACTTTGGTATTTTATGCAAATAACTATTTAAAATGATTCAAATAGTTCATAATGTGAATTAGAAGCTCGAAGCCCTTAAACAATAAAGAAATCACATTTACTTGAGGATTGTGTAATGGTGCTAATATGTTCTTTTCAGGTGTGTGGTTATGATAATGACTTCCCAATAGTCTAAAATTAATCATCATTAGTAAAAGCATTTTCATTAGTAGCACAAGAAAAGTGTTTAAATATAACTTATCACTTCATTTATTCATGCAAGAAATATTTAATGAAGCCAGTACTATGTGTCAGGCACTCGTTCATGAGTTCTGGGTGTCATGTGATTATCTCTGCTTGCAAGCAGTTTATTTGGACACCTGTTAAAAATTAAAAGGATCACATTTTATTGTAGCTTTACCATTCCTAGTTAATTTTACTTTTAACTGCTTTATATTGTAAGGCTATGTATGTGACTAATGTTAGTTTTTAAAGTGGGCACAGTGATCATGGATGTAGACAATCTTTTTTTTTTGTTTGAGAACAGTGATGTTGAAATTTAAAATGTTCGTACTTGAATTTGAAAAGGCTTATATACGTTCATGAGTTCTGGGTGTCATGTGATTATCTCTGCTTGCAAGCAGTTTATTTGGACACCTGTTAAAAATTAAAAGGATCACATTTTATTGTAGCTTTACCATTCCTAGTTAATTTTACTTTTAACTGCTTTATATTGTAAGGCTATGTACGTGACTAATGTTAGTTTTTAAAGTGGGCACACTGATCATGGATGTAGACAATCTTTTTGTTTGTTTGAGAACAGTGATGTTGAAATTTAAAATGTTTGTATTTTAATTTGAAAAGGCTCATATAGTTCTAGATGGTTTGTCTCAGTGATTAGAGTGTGGCCCACAGACTGAAGGGTTGAGGATTTCATTCCAGGGCACCTCGGTCGCGACCCACAGGTTGAGAACCGCTGCTCTAGCCAGTTTGTCTCAGTGATTAGAGTGTGGCCCACGGCCTGAAGGGTTGAGGATTCCATCCCAGGGCACCTCAGTTGCAAACTCAATCCCTGATACTGGTCGGGGTGTGTGTGGCAGGCAACCAATCGGTGAGCTTTCTCACATCGGTGTTTCTCTCTGTCTCTCCCCCTCCCTTCCACTCTCTCTAAATATCAATGGGAAAAAATACCTTGGGTGAGGATTAACAACAACAACAAAAACACACACACATAAAAAAGAAAAGAAAGTCTCATATAATTAAAAAAATTTTTTTAAAGTCTTCATCTGAGGCTATGTTTTTTTATTGATTTTAGAGAGAGAGAGGAAGGATGAGAGAGAGGAAAAGAGAAAGAGAGAAATATCAGTATGAGAGAGAAACACCCATCAGTTGCCTTCCGTTTGTGCCCTGACTAGGGATTGAACTCGCAACCATTTTGGTGTATGGTGCAATGCTCCAACCAACTGAGCCACCCACCCAGGCCAAAAGGATCATATAATTTATTGCCAGTTTTTTTTGTGCTTAAACAGTTTAAGCCAACATAAGTAGTCTTTTATTTCCTGAGTATACCAGATTATGGGAGAGAAAAAGAAAAGATCTTTCTTATGTAGCAGGAAACATTTTAGGTGAATCCTGTGAAATTTGCAAGATAGAAAATCTATACTTCGAAAGTGACAGTTTTTCAAGATAAAGAGGGAATATATCCATTTATTTTTCAATTTGGACTTTATTCTTAATGAAAAAATAACTGTGGAACATATTTTAAAGTTTATCTTTGAATGAGAAGTTGAACTATATATCTAAGAGTGGATAAAGATGGTTCTAACCTGATAAAAATACTGGGAAAAGAAATTGCTTTGGAAATCTAAAGCGAAATACTAATTAAAATGGATGAGCCAGAGGGTAGTGAGATAAAATGTAGATGGTGCAGGAAAGTGTAAAGTGAGATTTTTGTGTTTTAGTACAAGTATTAGAAGCTTAAAATGGCATCCATGGGAATGTATCTCGGCTCCTTGCCTGGCTATCAAGAACCTTCCTCCCCCCCACCCCCTTCGCCTGCTCCTCTTCTCCTCATTTTATGATCTCCAGACGCAGTTCAGTCCCCCTTTAGGCTTGCAGTGCTTTTTTTCTGGAAAATTCTGCATTTGGATTTTCATACAGTTATTTCCTCCTTAGCCTCCAGATCTTGATTTCACGACCCTGTCTAAATTGTTTACCTTGACTTCTGTTTTACCGCAGACACTCTGTCACATTCCTCATTTATCACTGTGTAAAATGACCCTGTTCATTTGTTTGTGACTTCCATGGATTCTGACCATCTCTCTCCCACCCAGGTTGTACGTTCCCCTATGGTGGGGCATTTGTTTGTCTTGTTCATTCCTGTGTCTGCAGCGTTAACTGGTATATAGTAGGTGTGCAGTAAACATATGATTTCACTCATATGTGGCATATAAAATGGAAAGTAGCAAATGAACAAATAAGAAAACAAATCAAACTCATAGACACAGATAACAGTGCTATCAGAGCGAAGGGGGTTGGGGGGGGGTAGTAAAGGTGGCCAAAGAGTATATGATAACGGAAGATGATATGATATGACTTTGGGTGGTGAGCACACGGTGCAATATACTGACCATGTATCATAGAAATGTACAATTGAGACCTATACCATCTTATTAACCACTGTCACCCCAATAAATTCAATTTAAAAATAAATAAAAATATTACTTAAAATCTGTCAAATAAAGGACTGAAAATCTGCACTTTGAAAGTTTTGCAAGATAAAGAGAGAATGATATATCCATTTATTTTTCAATTTGGACTCTAAGTAGATTGAGTATGATTAGTTGGTTTAAAGGTCACAATTAGTTGGTTTATTTACTTAATATTGTTAAGTGACCATTAAATCCAATAATTGAGCAGAATTTTCTAAGAGCTCCAAGTCATTTTAATTACTACATTTAAATGTAGAGATGTAGCTTTTCCATGCTTTTTTTACACTCTTCATATAAAGACTATGATGGGTAACATTATAATATATACAATTTCTACTAGTAAATAGAGCTAATTTTGTAGCTATATAGCATGAAAGAAGTAGGTTGTTTTAACTAGCAAACTTGATTCACAGAGTTATGCAGTTTATACACTTTTGTCTATTAAGATATTTGAATTGATATATAAATGGAAATGACTTTGAAGAGGAGACTGCAGAAGGAGGCCCAACATTCTTCATAAAAATTATATGCTTGTGTCAACAGCGTGGGCTCCCGAGTTTGCGAATGGCTTAGGACCTGGTTAAGAATGATCACAGAGCTTTATAGCTCATTATTCAGAGCAAACAAAACTTTGGATAATAGTGTTTCAAGGAGATGAATTGCCTAATTTGTCCTCTTGTAGTCATAGACTGCAGCTTTGCAGGGCAGAGAAAGCCAATTAATTCTAGAGAGTCTTTAAATGGTAGATTGTGGTTTGACGTTTTATTTAAGCCATTTGAGGTTTCAAAGATAGTATATCATCTGTGGACATTATAACTGTTTTCTTTCTAAGTTTGTGTTCTGTTAAAGTCTTATTCATTTTCTGGGAAGTCAAACTTCAATGAAAAATATTTTAGTAACTTCCCTGGGCTTGTTTTTTATTATTTCAGATGTGATTAATAAGACATTTTTAGAGAAAACACCTCTCCTACTTTTCAGGTGTAGTCTTTATTTTATATTTTTCTTCAAAAGGACATAAAACCTCATGAAAATGCTTTCCAAATGATTTCTTTGAATGCAGTAGGCAACATTATACTGCTATAATAAGCATTAAACAATGTAACTAAAGAAATAAGCTTTTAAGTTGCCTTTTTGGTAATGATTGTTCAGGTTCTGCATTTAAAGGGTATATTTAATTACGTAAGGCTAGAATATTGAAATGGCTTATTTCTTTTATAACATTGCAGGGTATTGTTGCCACCATAAAGAAGAAGGAATATAATTTCTTAGACCAGCGGAAAGTGGATTTTGACCAGGATTATGAACAGTTTTGCAAGCAGACTGATGACCTTCATGTAGGTTGTGTAATAAAATACCTGTTACAGGCGTGTTTGTTTTCTTTCTCTGTTCTGTATAATGCTGTTAATCATGACCATCAGCAGGGCAAGGCGTCTTCATCAGGGAGGTGACCGGCAGCAACCTCGGCCTGTGTTTTGTGATTTCAGATTAATAATTGAAGGCTCTTTTTCATAGATTAAAGGGTCATAAGTATAACTTTGGATAATGATCTGTAATCATAGATGTCTACGTATCTTCCATCTTACTTCTTAGGCTACTAACTTTCATCTTCTGTTGAAAGGTAGGTTTATTAGAATACAGAATTTTATCTCCATTTGTTTATTTTATAGCCATGATTATGACCAGAGGTCATTTAAGCAAATGGTCAGTGATGTTTGGCAGATCCCAAAGGCAAGGCGGCTGCTGGCCTTAGAAACAGGACTGACTCAGCATCTGGACCCCTTTCTCTCTTCCTTCTCTCAGCCACCCCCCACCCCTCCTGCCTGCACTACAGGCCAGCCATCTTGACTGTCAGTCTGTATGAACAGTGTATGGCTGCCATCAGCTTCTGAGAACATATCACAGGTCCAGCCCCAGCTCCAAATTCCAAAGGAGAATGTTGGGTTGGCCAGTTCTAGCCCTGATCCATGTGGTAAAGCAGGAGAGACAGCACCCCCTTGTGGTCTTTGGGAATATTTTCTATCAGAGGAGGAGAATCGAGGAGGGTAAGGTGAGGAGACAACCCAATAGATGTCTATCATAATTAATCTCCAGACTTTCTTCATCCCAGTGAGGCAAAAATTTGCACTATTCTGATTATAAGAGGAAAATGGGCCATCTGTTACTTCTTTTCTAGAAAAGAAAAAAGTTGGTACACTTTATGGAAAAAACAACTCAGGCATTTTGGAGGGGTGGGTTCAGTGGTAGAATCATAATAAAACTGGCTAATTCTATATGTCAGGTACTGTTCTAAGCACTTTATAGGTTTTAATTATCCTATAAGGTGAGTGCTCTTAGTGTCCTCATTTTGCAGAGGAGAAAATGAGGCTCTTTGAGGTTATCTGACTTGCCCGAAGTCACAGCAATAGGTGGTGGTGTGGAGATTAAGACCAGGCAGTCTGCTCCAGGATTTAAGTTTTTAACCATTATGTCATAAGACACATTTCAGTTGCTAGGAAGATATAATGCCTGTAATAATTTTGGCAGTGACCAATTTTAGGGGATGATTCAGACATAAGGACAACAGATCTTGATCTCTTCTTGTTGGAAATTGATGGACAGTGGAAGATCCTGATTCTGTGCTCTATGGTCAATGTGCATGTGTCAGTCTTCACCTGTTTCCCAACACTTTCTGATAGCTGGTACAGTGGGGCCTTGACTTACAAGTGTCCCGACTAACGAGTTTTTTTGAGGTACGAGCCGTCTCTAAACAATACAGAAAATCAATGAAACCAAGAGCTGGTTCTTTGAAAGGATAAACAAGATTGACAAACCTCTAGCCAGGCTCACCAAGAAGCAAAGAGAGAGGACCCAAATAAACAAAATCAGAAACGATAGAGGCGAAATAACAACAGACCCCACAGAAATACAAATGATTGTTAAAAAATACTATGGACAGCTCTGCTCCAACAAACTAGACAACCTG